AGATGCCTACAGGAAACTCGTCCAAAATTGATTTTAACACATTGAGAACGGAGGCTTTTGACCGTTTCACTCCGTTCTTTCGCCATTTCCCCACTATATAGCGCCCTACTAGCATTTTAGGCCGAGCACCAAATCATCGTGCCAACTGCCTTTAAGGGAGAGGAGGGGTCAGCCGAAGACAAGTCAGCGTTCTCATCCTCAAAGACGAGTCTGACACTGATTAACCGTCCTGAAATAAAGAAGACGTGGTTGGCCTAACTGCCGATCTCGGGTTTCACCCACATGCGCAGTAAACCACTAGTCTTTTCACCTGTGATTCCAAATTTTTGCCTCCTTTCAGCCTACACTCTCGTGACATGCCACCACTTCTCTATTCCCTTCAATTTCAATAGACTTTTGTAAATTCCATGTTGGGTAGATGTTGCAGTTCTTCTTCCACTTCTTCTCTGAGCACTTTCAGATAGTATCAATCTATTTCTCTGGAACAGATCCATTTTCAGTGACCAAGGTGTGTGCATCTGTGATGGTGCGTCACTACCCGACCGCTACGCGATGCTGTTCCGCATCTGCGTCTGTACGATGGTTGAGGTCGGCACGATCTCACTTTTCGGCTATGTGCTCATTCTTTCTCGTTCTGAAGCTGATGGTATGGGCATCAATGTTGCAAAGTATTCACTCAGCAAACGATTTCAGGTAATACTACAAATTTTGCTTTTTTCGTTTGCTCTGTGTTATTTGACAGAACATATCTCTCCTGTACAAAACGAATCTGAGGGATCAAAATGGTGATTAGGGGCCGTCAGACCCTTCATTTAAGCATGTTCCTATGTATACCTTCTACGGAGTCAGATTCCCTTCAGTCATCCCATACTAGTCACCTGCTCTTACCAGTTCAATGTTACAAAAGTGGAAATGCCATTTTAATATTCTCCTAACGCTAATATGCTAACCATATAGCACTTCAAACGTATTAACCAAAACGAGAGGCAGTCGGACAACTAAGCCCGCGCCCTAAAGAGGGTCTCCCCCCCCCCCCCCATCTTACTTTATCTCACTCGGGGCACAGCATTTACGTGGGATTTAGTCGTTCGATCGACACGACCCCCCTCGAGTCTGTACGACCTCCCCCCCTCCGGCCCTCTGTTCTCCTCATCGAATCGGAGCCGTCGAGAAGTCAACCAAGACTCCTACAACGTCAAAACACCCCCTCCGCCCCCAACACCACTACGACCCCCCCCCCTCTTCACAACGCCGTGCACGAAGAAAAAAACAACCATCCTCAAAATAAATTTTACCAACTAAGAAACACCCCCCCTTCCTGGCTGCACCCCCCCCCCTAGCTGAGCCCCCAACAATCGATGAGCCCGGCTTCACTCCACTCAATTTTTACTTCTTGTGACCACACGATACTATAGCTTCATCAGTTCTCCAAAACGTTCTTCTCAAAGACGGACATTTCTGACTCCATGCCTTCATTCGTATGTTACAATCAATTCGTTTTCGCTCCATCTGTAGAAAATTATAAAATTTTATCAAATCGACGCGAAAATCAGGGAATACAAGTGGATATTATTAGTTTGAATTAATTATTTAGTCTTGTTAATCGCACTGATCAGAATCACAGCTCTACTAACTGCCACGGAAGAGATTTCTTTTTAGCATCTCTCTCAACATTTGCCGGAAGTGATTTAGGCACTATAACTCACAGTAAAACAGAGATTGAAACCTATATTATAAGATTTTCCTGCTCATCTTATGAATTCGCGAGATCATGAAAAAACAGAAAAGGCGTTTCGGCGTTAATCAGTCCTTCTTGAGATGCCTACCGCAATTCACTTCTATTCAAGATCGCAGCTGCATTTTGCATGCCACTTGGCTATGCAATGACTTTCGAGAGCCATCATGTACTACGGTCTTTTATCCCCAAGAAAATATCGCCCATTTATCTGTGTCAGGGAGGCCCATGAGCCCCCCCTCCGCCTGCCTTGCCCCTACCAAATCATCTAGAAAAACCGTGGTAAACCCGCGTTTGCCACTTCATTCCTCTTATTGTAACAGCGCCCACTGACTCTGACCAACAGCTATACGATTGCCATGGAGAGGGGGGACAATTTACTATTACCGAGGGGTGGCCGAAAATAATGAACGCCCTACCCTGTCCTAGACTTTTTCATAGTGAGTTGTTGATGGTAATGGGAGCTGTCGGGACACAAAAAAAAACTCTAAAAAGCTTTCGTATGCCCACTTTGCCGAGCAACCCGGCCTACCAGCGAAAAAGCAACCTCATGGCGAGCCACTGCAAAAGGCCGACTGAAATACCACAAAATCGTCAGGAACACATTTGAAGAACTGATCTCTTGAGTTTACAAGCATCATCTAGACCTTTATACTTGTGGCGGGACGTTAATCCTTTTCTTTCAATCATCAGCTTCAAATGCCTTAAAACGCCATAAGACATGATGATTGTCTAAAAGGTGAATGCCCCTCCCATGAGGAAATGTTAAAAGGCGCAGTGTGAAACGGAAAAGCCTGTAAAAAAGCCTCTGTTCCTCACGACTCACAAAGCAATATCGGACGAGTTTCCGTTGACATCGTGCCAATAACCGCTACTAGATGCGGCTGCATGTGTGTACTCATATATCCATGCAGCACCGCAGCCGCTTCATATCAATCCCTTCGCTTCATATTGTACTTCGCAAATGAAGCGATACGAGCATCAGCATCGGTCGGACATTTGTGGGCGGGCGGGCGCGGTGGGCGTTCGGGTCGGTAAATTGCAGCTTGATAGGGCGCTATAAGGACACCTTTCTTGGAAAAGGTGCCACGCAGCGGTTGCTCGAATCCGTCCTGCCAGGCGTATTAATCCTACACGTCTTGAAGATTTATCGTGCCACTTCCCTTTAATTCAAAAAGTTCTTCAAGTCTAACCAACGGCGGAATACAGCTTACAAACTGACTGAGAGCAGAGAGCAGATCGTGGACAATACATGGCTGATCAATTCATTTGTGTAATCCTTGTGAAATACCAGGAAGTTTTCCACCTGGAGCTATAAGTACGTTTCTTTTAGATACACGAGACTTACCGGACTACCCAGATGCTACTTCCATCAGCAGTATTACATGCAGTTCTCTACCTATCCTATTTATGTCTACTTATACCAGTTAGAGATATGAGGTAGATTTATGGACCAAAATTAAATATCTGCATTCCAAATATTTCAAATTCATATTTAGGGCTGATCAATCACTTACACTGCTCCAATTTAACTTGTCAACAATTATATTCGCCTTTCCATCTATTTACGGACTTGCACATCCACTGGTATGTTCTCATCTACTACAGCTGTTAATCGATTACTGATTTACCTTGAATATGGAAGGTTTGCGCTGCTTCCATCCGAAACCGGGCATTTGCTGTCTGCTTAGATTATCACAGTTGCTGTCTGCTTAGAATATTCTCTGTGTCACATGTACACTCCTTATCTAGAAAATGGGGAGGGCGTTGCCAAGTGCTCCCTTTGAGTGTGGCAGTGGCTGCACTTGTGATGAGATCTTACTATTTTGGGACAATTGAGATCAGGTCGTTATCGACCACAGTTCAGGACAACCGCTGTCTCAAATAGAAATATCCCAAGGAAAACGCATCCAACGTTACGTTCAAATGGAATACGAAATCACGCCCACCCGATCTCCGCGATATGGAGTGTATCACCTGTTGGTCCTGCAAACCACCGCGTTGCTAGAACATGCATGCTCCAGAGTGCTGCAACATTTACCCAGTGGAAACCATCGCGCTCGAACGCAAACACCTGTCTTAATATTCATTTACGCCTTTCAAACAGTGGCGGTTGCCGGGTCCCAGGACGAAGACCAAACGCCTTCAACCCTGTGAATCCCTAATGTGTTCAAAATACAGTGGTAACGCCCCGTATAATTTCGACACTAGTTACTAGACTTTGAGTCTTGCGCTTGATACAAGTTACAGTCCTCAAAAAACTACATTACACCAAAGGCCTTTATTTGAACCAAATCACGCAGAAACTGAGTATGTGGTGCAAAGAGGAGTGCTCTCTATTTCCTTTACCACTCCATCAACATTACTGAACACTCGACAAGCGGCCCGCCAACTCCTGCTCATTTCTACTAGTGATAGATCTCATTCCATGTTTATTACCTCATCCAGTTCCGCAGCTACAAGCCATACTTCGAGACCTAATTCAAAGATATTCGTCGTTGAATAACGGGCACCATGACAAAGGCACCTCCCTGTGCATAGTCTTCGTTGGGTTCAGCTGTGAAGGGACCTCTAAACGCACGTTATCGTAATGAATTGGAACTCGTTCCGCTTTCCTTATCCTCACTGTGATGAATAAGATGCCGTCAGCGAATTTGGCGCGCTGGTCTTTGACTTCCACTCTCATGCCATCCCGTTCCAGTCAACGCATGACTTTCTCGGAACCCCTTCCCCCTTGATCTGGGAAGCCTTTTTTTCACAGGATTCGAACAGTTGGTATTCTGCTATCGCTTAATTTCAGATCTGCCTTACTCGACATTTCTACCTCAAGCAACGTGTAGACGACTTGCTAGGAGGACTTCTCCGGCGAAATCCGTCGATAACACTGGAACTTGCACCTGACAATGGGGCCGCAATGCATATCACGCCAGAATTGAGTAGCTCTCACAGGTAGGCTTTTACAGTTTGTAAAGTGGAGCTACTACCCTGGTGGTAACGAATTGAAGGTACTGTAATCTATAGAGGTGCTGATAGGGCATAGTGCGGAGTATTCTACATTAGATATACGTCCTCCAGATAGGAAGGATATACAGGGAGGGGGGCAAAAAAAGACACTTTTCTTCCTTGACTTTCAAGGCGCTATAAGTTACACTTATCAAATTCTGATTGGACATTTCCACCACCATATTCAACAGCATATTGTATACTTCATGATACTCCGCCACAGCCTTCTGGACGAGCGCCATCGAGAGATTCTGCCACGCGACCGTGATTCGGTACCTGAGTTCAGCGAGATCGTTGATTTCTCCGCCACTGTAGACCACCCTATTGAACTCCGCCCGAACCGGGTAATTGAGGGGGTTCAGGTCAGGTGACACACTTGGATATTCCGTCTTCTTCAGGTTCTCAACGCCCTTCGATTCCAAGTAGGCGAGAGTTTTTCCAACGCCCTTCGATTCCATGTGGAGGCACCCAATCCTGTAGCAGTACGAAGTTTCCAAGAAGGTACAGGCGATGACATGAAGGCAGGATATTCTCCACGAGTTGGTCGATGTAACCGTCAGCGTTCACTTCCAGTCCGGGGTCCACGAAGAAAATATCGGTCTTCACATTCCAGGAACTTCCGGTCCATACCACCAACCCACGCCTAGCGACGTTGTCGGAGCTGCTCGATGTTGGAGGTCTTGCCAGATCGAGAGTACTGTCTCCAGGTAGCTATCCATGGGTGACTCCACACTAGAAGTTTCGCAGCTGTTTGGAGGTGACATGAATTCCAAAGGTCTTCTCCAGTCAGGCTGCGACTGGAGATGACTTCATATTTTGGTGTACATGAAGGTGATGGGCGAGAGCCAGCTCCTGCTTATCGAGGAACATCTTGGGTATCTTCCGCCCTGGTACTCGTATCCACGTCTCTGCCCTGGTACTCGTATCCACGTCCTCTGTCTGGGCTGCGAAAACTTTGCTGATATGTGACTCGGTCGAAATGTCTTTTTTTGCCCCCCCCCTGTACACGACAGGAACCCATACTAGTGTCTTATGGACAGGGCACGTACACGCCTAGGAACCCCAGCGAGGGGGGAGGGCGGTATTTGGTCACTGGTGGGAGGGAATCATGCCTCCTTTCGGGAAAAAAGGTTTGTGGTTGTTGCTGACATTGCTGGGTTTTTTTTGCTTCTTGTGTGCTACGTATCCCCCTCCTCCCTCCGTACTCGAAGGCAGTTTTTCGAGCAAATTTTTGACAAAAAAAGTTCCGGAAAAAAGTAAGAAAATTAAGAGAATTTAGGAAGACGTAGGTGGGATGCAGGTGAAGGAAAAGGTTCTTTCCAGAGAAAGGAGTCTTAAAGGAGTGGAGGGGGTTGTATTTTGCAAAGCTTCCCGCCATTCGTGCCCTGTCTGTGGGTTTCTCTCGTTTCTACTTCGCGGAACATCTGTGTACTTTGAAATAGCTCAACTTGTTTTGCTATAGTTTTGACGCCCCTTAACCTTTTGGTATTCCCTCTTCTGACTAAATATGTTCTTACTACTACTGTCTGAGAAGAAACTAACATGGAACAGAACTCATCAAAACGCGTAATCTATTTACGTTCAGTTTTCGATCGGAACATGATCGCCGGGTGGATTTTCATGTGGCACCAGATAGACATGCCGAAATATTGGCAACGTTTTGGGATCGAGAAGAAGAACAGCGAGGAACGCTGTAAAGAAGATTTCCATATTGATTTGTACATTGTTTCACTTACAATAAAGCACCAAATTCCTCAAAAGAACAGTCCTCAGTGGCTAGATTCATGTGGCCAGAGTCTAAGTGCCTCTCTTATTGGTGCACCATTCCTTTTCAGGAAGGCAACTAGCAAGGACAAAGCGAGAAACACGAAATGGTGGGAATTACTCCGCCCACGCGAGCAGCGTGGACTGAAGCTCCTTTTCAGCATCCTCTGAGCAGACCAGCGTATTCCCCGCTGCATTACTGCTTTGTTACAGAACAATCCATGAGTACTTTACAAGTAATACCAAATAATTGATATTGAAGCCGCATCAGTCCTTTTTTAAAGGCAACCCCGACCACTTTTCGGGTTAGAGGTACAACATGACCTTAAACTGGTCCCAGATCCCAGGTCCTCAACTTCTAAAAAATTCCTATTCCCATAAACCAGCTCCTTAGAGACACTTTCCCGCGATCAAGTGATCAGCGAAATGCCTCCGTGCATGGTATCGCTGTCCGCACTCGCAGCGAATAATACGACTTTCGCCACTCGAAATGGCGAGATAACGAAGCTAGAGGTGCGTGAGTTTTGCAAGCGATGCAACCGCGTACGGTAACTCTGCAAGACAATGGCACAACCGGAATTGCGTGTGTACATGGCGTTGTCTGGAGCGTCGATTTCAGGTGCTCTTGCCGGGAATCGCTTGCACGTAGAATCCTGCTGATTGGGCTAGTCGTCATGATGAACCCGTCCAAGGCGCCGGCCCTACAGCTAGGGTGGTCTGTGCTCAGGGTGTTCCCAAACGTTTCTTCGCTTCTTTCTCTACTGATGAGTTTCGGGCTACTGGTCATAACTGGGCACCTGCTACCTGTTACTGTTACTTGATCGCAGGATTTGCCTGCATTTCTCTTCTCACCTGATGATATAACCATCTCAGCCGTTGCGCTTTCTCTCAACCGACGGGCATTTGTATCGCTCCCTCCCTCCCCCCTTTCTAGTCACGTCGACTAATGTAAGGGGCAGGGGATGGCTCAGGGTTCAGATGCGCGTCATGCAAAACCGCCGGTACTCTGGAGAAATGTATTCAAGCATTCTCAACAGTCTCCGTCCTGACATATAGGAGAATTCGCAAAAAACCATTTCATTCAAAAACGTGGAGACGTTTGGAGGAATGGAAGGAAAGCAAAGGGGCTAGGGTGCTTGCTTCTACATCTTTAACAGCCAGTACCTTAAGCTCCGTATACATGAAATTTGGCTAGCCTAGCAACAGAAGAAATTCTCGAGAAATTGAAAAGAAGCCCGAGTGGTCAAAATCAGCGCCGGAGTATGGAATCGGGCGTCATACAAAGAAAGTGTGCAGCTCAGACTTAACCTGGGCTAGACCAGTAGTGGCACATAATGGTGTTCTCCAAATGGAATGTGGAAAATTTGGCAAAAGTCGAGCGACAAAAAAGTTGTGGCCGAGGTGGGTCCCATTCACAAGCAAAGCGGGAGGATTAGGCTGAGCGGCGGTATCTGATCACTGAGCATTGACCGTTTACGAGCATCCCCGCGAGACTGGCATCCCTGCTGCAACCGTTGCCTGAGTAATATAATAACAAACGCAGAAATGATTCGCTATGTGGATGGTCTTGCACTCCGAGCCGAAATTCCCAAGCGTCATTTTTGTATGAAAGCAGATAAGAAGCAGCCCAAGTTCTGTCATCAGGAGTTAGACAGGCCTACGCGGATGATCATCGTAGCAATGGATTTCTGCAGTGTGGCTTTCAAGCGGCTCTCTACTGAGAACA